TATGACTCAATGTAGTAGTAAGAACTGGGATTACAGCCAATGGCTGTGCTTCAGCCCAGCTCTGTTGTATTAGCATATGGTCTTAGAGAAATCAATGCTCAGTTTCCTACTCCATGAACTAGGGATAAACACAGAACATCTGGCATAGAGCCTGTGATAATTAGAGCTGATGATAATGATTGCAGATGGGAAGTGAATGGAGACTAATGAGAAGCCATTCTATTGACCAATAGGAAATCATCATTACTAACATTAACATGAACTTTATTAGTAGAACAGCTTTTTGAGATTATGTTTGTCCAGTATCTGATTAAACATGTCCCATAACCAGAAAGTCACTTATTACCTTGCAAAGTGGTCCTTCCATTACGAAAGAGTTGTAACTAAGGAATGATGCAGACCACAGACTAAATGTAGCGTTATAAAGTTGTTTTAGTCTCCTTTCCTCCAACACTTTCTGTGTACAAGTTCTCCTAGATTTCAGCTTTCTTTAATGAGGGGTCAAATAGAATCTAGACCATACAAATCTAATGCAGAGTGAGAGAACGTACACGGAGAGCTTTGCACTAGCATGTGGAAGGTAATAAGAAATGAAGAGGGATTGGCTGTGTCTATTAATCCAGACCTGTTGGCAGTATGAGAGCATGGCCTATCAGCTTCATTTTAATCCTAGTCAAATATCTCTGGGACAACTGCAAACTGAGAAGTTATGTTGATACAGCTTTTTGATGGATTTTGAAGCTATATATGCCAACAGAGGGGGTAAAGAAAATCTTCCTTTTTACAAGAAGAGAAAGAAAGCAGATACTAGAGAGTCCATTGACCTATCAAAGCCCAGGCATCTTTCTGTAAAAATAAACTTAATTATAAAAAGAACTTTGTGGTGAGATCACTATACACCAAACCCAAAATCAATACATCATAATGACATCTAACTTCTATTCAGCTAGACTAGCCATTCTCAAGCTCTAGAACTTCACCTTGGATTTTACTTTTACTATCAAATGCACGTTAGTGGACTTCACCACACAGAAAGGAAAAACCTAAGACATAATTAGAACTAGAGAAGCCCTTGGCGTTATTTCTTCTCTTATAGCTTATGTCCATTACCTGCATTCAGTCCTTCCTCAGGTCTTCTTGGCCACATAAACACAAGGGGACAGTTTTTTCTGGACTGGGAGGCTGGGAGAGGAAAGGGGAAGGACTGTAGGGTGGAAACAGGTCTTGCTGCAGAACCTCTGCAGAACTGTATCAAGAGTGAAATGGGCCAGTTGGTGGTGGCACACACCTTTAATCCCAGCACTTGGGAGGCAGAGGCAGGTAGATCTCTGAAGTCAAGGCTAGCCTGGTCTACAGAGTAAGCTTCAGGATAGCCAGCCTACACAGAGAAACTTCTTTGTCTTGGGAAATACATACACACACACACACACACACACACACACACACACACACACACACACGAAAACTGAAATGGAATTGTTCTGAAAGCTGCATATCTGCCAGGCAGTCTCAGGCAAGACAGTAGTGAACTTAACAAACATGTACCATAAACTGCTACTTGATTCTGTGTTCACATTCTTTTCCTACTATTTATAAGTAAATATCCTAACACTGGCTTTGTGAAATTAAAGGAGAGTCAGTATGAGAGAGCGAGAAGGGCCATTGACTGTAGTGTTCAGATCCTAACTGTCAGCAGCTTTCCAGATCAGGACTGAAGCTCTAGCTTGATACAGCCGCACACATCGAGAAACAAAAAACTTGGGAGACTAGTTCTCTGCCTTCAGATCTCCTTTATGGCAAACAGTGGCTTCTAAGCCTCTAAGAGGCAGTTCTGGGGTACCTTGTCTTTGACAGAGTCGAGAGGAGACTTGTAGTCAACAGTCATTCTGCTGTGCACACAAAATGGACACGTAGGAGGGTCTAGCATGGAATAAGGCAAGGCGAACACACACACTTCATCTCTTGGTCTCTCTCTGTCGTCAACTTCCTGGAGTAATACTTGCAGCTCAACAGCAACATGCCAGGTTTGGTAGTGCTTGGTTTACTGGCATTTTCTGCCACAGACTGGGCAGGGGCATAACTATACCATCCACACATATTTGCTATTCAGGAGAGGAGAAGAGTGCTGTCCTCTGAAACAGTGACCCTCCTGTGGGATAGCAACTATACTCCGAGTCACTCAAACATTTCAGACTCAGTTTCCCTGCCTTATTCATGCCTTCAACATCTGGCAAGCAGCTGCTAAACAACAGATACATCTAGAGAGGTCAGAGGCTAGCAATAAAAAAATAAAACATGGGGGCTGGAGAGATGGCTCGGCGGTAAAGAGCAC